GGGGGATGCTGAGGGGGATGCCTCGCCAGCTGACCCAGAGGGGGACTGCCAAGATGGGCGCTGTGGGCTCATCAAGCGCCCCGGGGACCTATATGAGGTGCTGGCCTTCCACCTGGACAGGGTGCTGGGGCTGAACCGACGCTTCACCAGCCACCTCCTGCCCTACAGCTATACCAACGGCTCCCCACGACCCATTGTCTGGTGGGCGCCCGACCTCCAGCACCTGGAGGATGCCAACAATGACCAGAACTCTTGTGCCCTGGGGTGGCTGCAGTACCAGGAGATGCTGCAGCCCCATGGACAGATGCCAGTGGCTGGGGGGGGTTCCTTCTCCACGATTTTTCAACTCCAGTATCTCTCGCAGTGAGTGGAGCTACCTGGCCCTCTTCGACTTTCTCCTCCAGGTAGGGCTGGGGTAATGGAGACCACCTGTCCCACCAGCTGTGCTGCCCAGGTTCCCCTGTGCCCACACCTGCCTTGTCTGACCGTGGTCTCCTTCTCCTCCATGGGTCACATAGGCTGCTGATTCTTGGGATGTATTTTTACTCATTAGCTAATGGGGAGCAGCAGAGCTTTTGTCAGAAATGGTTTGGCCCAAGCACAATCCGTGCTTGGGACTTGCAGGGAAACACAGGCAGGTTTCAGACGTGATGAGTCCACTCTCACGTGGCCAAGCTTTCTCCCAGTGCAGCTCTGATGGCTCCACTTACCATGGATGCTGGCAGTGGCTCAGGAGGGGCATCCCTAGGGATAAGCAGCATGTTTTGCATCAACCCCATCAGATCCAGCTCCAGAGATGCACTGCTGGTGCTGGAACTCAGGGAGCCCTGCCCTTTCATACAGCACTGCTTTCCTCCTCCTTGGGACTAATAGTGCTTAATCTTCTGTCCAGAAAATCATACCCTGCTGCTACGAGGGATTACAACAGCATCCCAGAGAGTTATCGTTTCTTACAGGGTGGCTGTAAGGAGACAAAAGTGGTTTCTATGGAAAAAAGCCTGTTTAGGCACCTCAAGGCTGGAGCTTAGATTATCAGTCAAGGGGAAACTGCCTGAAAGGGCAAGTATTAAATAAAAAAAAAGAAAGAATGGGGAAAAAAATACTATTAAAATATGTGTTCTCATTACTCTTTCTTATTTTTCTTTTGGCAAAGCCTGTCCATTAATCTTTATAACCTCAGACTATGGCTGGCAGAGGCAGAGCAGTCCTGGCTGGGCCTGGGAATATTTTAGCTGAAACAGCCAGAGAAATGAGAATATTAACCAACCCCCTTCACTTCCCCAGGCCAAAATGCCATTGAGTGCAATGGAAAGGCTGAGTCTCGAGGAGAAAGAATCTAGTTTCAAGGAGACTTTTCCTCAGAGGGCCGAAGCAGCACAATGATAAATCCAAGAGCAATCTGCAGGTTTTCCTCAATAACTCCAACAGGATCCTCCCATGCAGAAAAGTTACATAAATGTAAAGAGGCACCATGTCAGCAGGATGTTATAGAAATTAAATAGCATCCTTCAGAAATGGCTGTAGCATCTTACAGCCCTTGCTGGGGAAGGAGAAACTGTAAGCTTTGAGCCTTCCTATACACTGGTATTGAAATCTTGGTTTTCTTCAATTAGCCTTAAAATTTGGCTTCTTCTGTATTGATTTCTTTTGGTTTTTGCCATAAGAGAATACCCCTCTTGGTGTGAAGCTTGACTGGGAGCAAAACGCTGAGCCTGGTGGAAAGAGGACAGCTGCTAATGGCTTTGTCCTGTGCCTTAAAAAGGGCCAAAAGTACATCAGCTCTAAGGCTCTGCAGCCACATCCCTGCCCTGCAGCACCCCATTCCCAGCTGGGGGGAAAGCAAGGAAGCTTTCCCCGGGGGGAGCCTTCCCAGGCTGGGTCACAGCTGGAAAGCCCCAGGGGGATGCTCTGGGTCAGCTGAGCTTTGTGAGGGACCAAATTGGAGCTGAAGGGCAGCTTCTCACAGGGTTCAAGCTTGGATGGGAGAAGGCGTGCCTTACATATTTGTGTTCCAGCAGTAAGACCTAGTGTCTTATTCTTTAGCGCCATTTAGGCTTCGATGAGGAGAAATTAATAAAAATGTCTCAGGGAGGGCCAGGGGGAAGGAGGGTTTGTCAACATATCAGCAGCACTTTTTGCATCTCCACATCTGGCTAGTCCATCTTCCATGATTCCACTTGGACACCAGGTCCTGCCTCTACCTCACACCTCCACAGGCCCAGCACCGATCCGCCTTCATTACAAAGGCACTTGCACATTTAATGTCTCTGTAAGTCACCTCAGGTTGTCTTCACCTTCTGTGCAGCCTGGAAAACAACATGGCAGGTTAGAGAAACTGGTGTTTTGAGCTTTACAGGAGGTAGATCAAGAAGATTTGTGGAGGAAATGTGATGCTTTCTTTCATTTCACTGTACATCATGACAAAAGACACTCTAGCACTTTTAACCGATGAGTCTCTTGATGGGGAAACGCCGACCCGAGTGCTTCATTAAACCTCAGGAAGCAGAGGGGTTTGTTAAGGGGCTCTGGTGTAGGACTAACCTTGCTTCTCCAAGGGTTACAAATATAATGGCCATGGAAATAAAACTTTGTGTTTCCTGCAGCATCTTCCCCAGTGCTTGATTAGTGTTTGGGTTCAGACTGAACTCTGTCTCAAAGCACAGCCTGTAATTAATAAGTTTTGCTAATCATTGGGGTAAGGGGAATAGGCAGCCATTGTGGGTCCCTTGGTTTGCCTCTAGTTATATCACCTGTAAATCTCCTCGGGCTCACCTGAGACCTACTTCAGCCATCCCGGATGCTTCAGGAGCTGTTCTGCACCCCTCCTGGGTCAGCATTGACAACCCTGAGCAAGCGAGTGAGTCAGATGCCTTTGCATTCCAAACTGAAAAGAGATTTATTTTATACATATATTTAAAGGAAATTTATATATATATATATATGCATAGGGGTTTTTTTCTGTAATGTTGTAAACTGGCCTCTTGAGCTGGAGGCAGTGAGGCAGCCCCCCCATGGCAGCCCCCAGCCATGGGGAGGGCTGCCAATAGCCAGTGAGGTCCCATCTGCCCCACAGACCACCACAGAGGATGCGCTAGCTTCTTCTGACAAAGCTGAGGAAGCTTTGTGAATACCAAGGCAGGGTTATTGAAGTTGGATCTGACAGAGATTTATTCATTTTAAAAGTCCCTCATCTCTCCGAGGGTGCAGATGAGACAATGGGAGCTGCCAAGCAGCACTGGGGTTTCCGCAGGATGTGGGGTCAGGGGTGGGGGCTTATCAGCCTCGACAACATGGAGCCTTAGCAGTGACTGCAAATAATTAAACATAAATGTAGTTAAAACGAGTCACCAACTTAAATACCCTGTATAATGCACAGATCATTTTTTCCTTTGCAGATCCTTTTCCATTCATCTTCTTTCCATTGAGAGCTGCTTAGGTTACTGGTAGGGATGGATGAAAGGGTGTATATGAGCTGGCAGCCAGATGAAACCACCATCCAGTGCACCAAGACTCAGCCTGAGGGGAAAAAAAGTAATCTCTTTTTGAGGTTTCAAAACCTAGATTTCCTTGGATGCTTTGGTGTTATTTTTACATTCATTGTTACGTACGTCTTCCCTTGGTTTCAGCTGGAAGCATGACACTTTCACTCTGTGCAAATATAGAGTATGGAAGTACCAGATGCAGGTGTCTGTACTCCAGCAGGAAAGCCTGTCACCTTCACCTTTGTTGGTCTCTTCTCCAAGCCAAATGCTTTTGCAAGTCAGCTCAGCTTTTGAATGCTTCCTTGCCTCTCTCACTCACCAGTGTATACAGCTTTTCCATGTCATGTCTACTGAGGATCTTTAGAAACTTTTTCCTTTCCTCTGAGCAAGAAAAGTTTACAATTGGAACACCCCGCTCCAGGTGTCTGTCTCTGCTAAGGTCCCCAAATGTCTCCTGCAGGTTCATGACCGTCTGGACCGCTACTGCTGTGGGTTTCAGCCTGATCCCTCCGAGCCCTGCGTGGAGGAGATGCTCCATGAGAAGTGCCGAAACCCAGCAGAGCTGGTCCTGGTCCACATCCTGGTATGTCCTCCTCCTGCTCCCCAAAGGCTGCTCTGGGGCCAAGATGAAGGTGCCTGGGGGGAACCCTTGCAGGTGATATTGCAGCAAGAGGGACATAAGTTCCATGGTGATGCGGGCTCCATGGCGGGAGGTGCATCTCAGCACAGAGGGACCTGTGCTTTGGCAGCTGATAGCCTGCAGATGCTCCCAGGATTATTTAATGCATTATATAAACCAGTCTAAATACCCAAACTGGTGCTTCCCTGCAGTAAGTGAACTTCTCCTTCCCATGCTGCTGGCAGGTCAGGCGGAGTGCACCATCCCGCCTGGTGTTCATTGACAACGCGGGCCGACCACAGCACCCTGAGGAGAAGCTCAACTTCAGGCTCTTGCAAGGCATAGACAGGTAGGAAGGGTGACGCGCACTCCCCTGGAGGCATGGGCCAGGCAAGGCCTGAGCATGCACACGCAGGACGGACACCAGCTCTATGTGCATGACTTTGTGCTGGTTGGGCACCCTGTGAAGCAGGGCCACCTCCCACCCAGGACAGGTAGGTGGGCTCACAAACCCCTCACGCATGCCCCTGTCATGAAACTGGCTATTTATCCTACTCTGGGTGGCTGGTGGCAGTCTCCAAAGCCTATTTGGCAGCTGCACAAAAATAACAAATGATCAGGTATTTCAGCATTTCTTGCATCATTGCCCATCAGGCATTTGGCACGCTATTGGCCTCTTGATTTGGAGCTTCTTTGGATCAGTTTCTGATGGAGTTGTCCTGCATGTTCACCATGGGCAGAGTTTTAAGCAGGAGTCTCCTCATCCCTCATTCCTCTGGGTGGACATGTATTTCTTCTGGAAGCGCTAGGGTGGCCTTTGCTTGGGTGGCCTGCTGCTTCCCTCCTCCCTGGGTAACCCTTTTCCTCCCCCTCTCTTCTGCTCCTCCACTGCAGCTTCCCGGCGGCGGCGGTGGCCATGCTGCAGTCAGGCAGGTTGCAGAGCCTGCTGCTGGAGTCGCTGCATGTGGACCGGGAGCTCTGGGAGAGCCAGGGCGGTGCTGAGGGCCTGAGACCTCTGCTGCAGACCATCGACAGGCGGGCACGCATCCTGCTGCGGTACATCCAGGAGCAAAACCTGACGGTGTTCGGGGACTTGCCACGCTGAACCAACCTCCGGCCAGCGCGGCATGCCTGCCTGGCAAATCCCGGCAGCAATGGATGAACCATCGGCATGGGCGATGTGAGACTGCGCATGAATTCTTACCTCTCCAAAAGGTGTACCCCCTCCTTGTAGGATGCCCTGGAAAAGCAGATCTCAGGGAGTAGGAAAGAAGAGGAGTCATCTCTTGAAACAACCCACAACTGCTTGAGAAAGGCGCTAAGCAACGTTTATCAAGCAGTGGTCTCGGCATGGATCTTCAAAGGGGGGCACATCCATGAGATTTTTTGGGTTCCTTCACCCCCCTATCCCCTCAGCAACTTGAAAACTGGAGGCTTAGACCACTGAACAGCTGATGGGGGCTCTGGGAAAGGTTAAAGAAGTGTTGAGATGCAACTGCTGAAGCTGGGGAAGTCACTAGTAGCCTTTTCATGGCTTGCACTGGGTGTTTTGGTGATGTCTTTGCTGTTTCCAAAACATAACAGTATGAGAGGCTGGAGAGTGGGGGAAGGCAGAGGGGAGCTTTCTAAGTGGATTAAGTAGGGACAAGTCACCTCAGCCGAGCTCTGTCTTACCCCCACGGAAGAGGTGATGTGTGCTGGGGAGCAGGTGTAAACCACTGCCACGCTGTGAGGAACTGCACTATGGACTTGTCT